CCTCCCACCCCTGGTAACCAACAAAGAAAATTTCCTTCAATAGATAAACCTTTCCTTAACTTTTACAATAACAGACTAATGTAATATTTGTCCTTTTTGTGATTGACTTATTTCACTCAGCATAATGTCCTCCAAGTTCATGCACGTTATGCGGTGTTTTGCTGCAACTGTTTTTGAATTACCTTCAGCAAGATTTTACTTGCATGCGATATTAATGATACTGTTCAATAACTTCCACATTCTGTGGGATCATCTTTATCCTAAATGGGTACAAATAATGGATTTCTTCCAGTCAGATGGCCAGGTAGCTGTCTTCCAGATTTCTTGGCATAGACAAGTGAGTGCCTACAGCACGGCGTCCATTTATTGAAGCATCTCAAAGGGTATTCCATCAATTCCTGGAGTCTTGTTTTTCACCAATTACTTCAGTGTGGCTTGGACTTTTTTCAACACCCTTGGTTCTTGATCCCATGCTACCTCCTGAAATAGTTGAATGTCAATCATTTTTGGTACAGTGACTGTGTATTCCTTCCATCTTCTTTTGATGTTTCCTGCAGCATTCAATATTTTACCCATAGAATCTTTCAGTAGTGCAACCTGAGGCTTGAATTATTTCTTCCATTCTTTCAGCTTGAGAAATGCTGAGCGTGTTCTTCCCTTTTGGTTTTCTAACTCCAAGTCTTTGCACATTTCATCACAATATTTTACTTTGCCTTCTTGATCTGCCCTTTGAAATCTTCTGTTCAGCTCTTTTATTTCCATTTCTTCCATTTGCTTTAGCTACTCTCTGTTCAAAAGCAAGTTTCAGTCTCTTCTGATGTCCATTGTGGTCTTTTCCTCCTTTCCTGTCTTTTTAATGACCTTTTGCTTTCTTCATCTGTGATGTTCCTGATGTCATCCCACAATTCATTTGGTTGTCAGTCATTGGTGTTCAGTGTGTCAAATCTGTTCTTCAGATGGTCTCTAAATTCAAGTGGGATATAAGCAAGGTTGTACTTTGGCTCTTGTGGACTTGTTTTCATTTTCTTCAGCTTCAGCTTGAACTTGCATAGGAACAATTGATGGTCTGTTTCACAGTCAGCTCCTGGCCTTGTTCTGGCGGAAGATACTGAGCTTCTGCATTGATCTGATTCCTGTGTATTCCGTCTGGTGAGGTCCACGTGTATAGTGGCTGTTTATGTTGCAAGATTCTATCATGTGATCTTCGGCATCATTTCTATCACCAAGGCCCTATTTTCCGGCTACCAATGATTCTTCTGTTTCCGAGTTTCACATTCCAATCAGGAATCATCAATACATCTTGATTGCGTATTTGATCAACTGCAGACTGCTGAAGTTGGTAAAAACCTTCAATTTCCTTGTCTTTGGTTTTGGTGGTTGGTGCATAAATGAGTAATAGTAGTATTAAGTGGTCTTCCCTGTAGGTGTATGAATATTATCCTATCACTGACAGTATTGTACTTCAGGATAGATGTTGAAACATTCTTTGTGATGATGATTGCCATGTTGTGCCTCTTCAATTTGTCATTCCTGGCATAGTAGATTGTGGGGGTGGGTCCATGCAAATACATTGTATGGAACCCTAATGTGGGGATCGGTCAGTTTTGCCAACCTGTTAGGCTTAAAATGAGCCCTCCCAGAGGCAGAAATGGGGGAACCTGACTACCACCAAGATGAAGAGATGGGAATGGAACGTGTCTGTTGGACCCGGGATCCCTGTGCGGGGAAACTCCTCAACCCAGGAGGCAGAGAGAGCTGTAACAGGTTGGCAAGGTGGCAAGAAGCAACAGCAGAGAAACTGTGGCAGCCAAACCAGGAGAGTGGCAGGAGATGGCTCAGTGGACTTCCTGGCCCACTGAGTAAGAAAACTGAGCGCCTTGGGGCAGGAGCCCTGCTAGCACTACATCTGGCAACCCATGGAGCTACAGCTGAGCACCGTCAGGCTGAGGCTTGCTGGCAGAGTGGGGCCTCTTTGGGCACTTATCGGCAGAGCTAAGAGTGCTGTTAACGGTTGTCTCAGCAGGGCAGAGGCCAAGGGCCAGAGAGAGAGGTGTGCTGTTGGCACTGCAGAGTTGTTTCTGACCCTGAATCCTAACCTGTTTGTTACTTCCCTGATGAAGTCCATAATTGTGAGAACTGTCTTGAGTTGTGTGTGGCCATTACAATGAATGACCCACCCGAGCAGGGAAGCAGTGAGCGGGAGGAACAGGTGGTGTCAGAGTCGGCAGAAAGGTTGGTGGGTGGAAGCACGTGTGATTTCTGCCTCACAGGAATCGGCTTTGGGCTGCAGATCTTGACCCTCATCCTCTGTTACAAAGTTCGAGGAGGTCTGATGGCATCACCCCCACACCATTTTCACATCATCTGTCATCCAAATTCTTAACAAACTAGGGTAGATGGAAACTCCCTCCACCTCATCAAATACACCTTCCACCTAAGATCGGAGGGATGGACACTCCCACCGCTTCTATCCGCCACTGCACTAGAGGCCTTAACCCACACAGTAAGCCAGAAGAATGTAAGGCATGCAGATTGGGAAGGAAGTAAAACTGTTTATTTGCAGATGAAATGATCATGCAGACTACTCCAAGAATCAGAAAACAGAAATGACTTCGGGGAAACTACCACCACAGGAGAGTGCTGTCGAGCACCAGTGCTGAGGACCTGGCGCCCACGTCGACGTGAGTCACCAGGAGTAGGAACAAGAGCTTCTAGAGGACTGGGGGGGGGGGGCTAGTGTTTTTGGCTGGACAGTCGAGAATCATGAAATGGAAAGTGGTGGAAAGCTCAAGGCTTCCAGTGCAACATGTCCCGGAGCACAGCCAGCGATCTGAAGAGTCAGATTTTATTGCTCAAGGACAACGTGGACTTCCATGTCCAGCTTCCTGGGGCGTGTAGTGTGACTCATGACTGTGGACACACAAGCCCCTAAGCCTGTGCTACCGCCCACGGCTACTTTCTAAGACACCCAAAAGGGCAATGGGTTGGATAAAAAGTGAAGGATGTTTGTTGTCCACAAACGCTTCCTCCGTCCCCTGCCTTGCCCCCAGTGGCCCTCCTTCCTGGGGCTCCTCACTGTTCAGGTCATCCGGGGCCTTGGGCCTAGCTGTGCCACCATCAGTGCCTGGGCTGGAGGCCACCAGAGCCTAAGCCGGCCTACAGCCGACCATGGTAACCAAGGGGGTCTGTGAAGGCTGGGGGATGCAGGCACTGGCTGGATTCAGGGCAGGGGGCATGCTGATGGACGGGGAGTACTCAGCACCCCTACTTCTTACGAGCCGACTGAGCCCCAGGACAGTCACGCTACAACTTTTCACATTACGAGGGGCCTGGGAGGGCCCTGGGCCCTACTCACTCTACTCTGCAGCACTTCCAGCAAGTCCAGAGAGATGGTCAGGGCTCCCCCTCACCCTGCTGCACTTGTACCCTGCTTCTCCTTGGCCCGTGCAGCCAACAGCCTGAGACCTGTACCCCCTTGTCCCTCTGATTGATGGCTCAGCCAGCCAAGGCCTGCCTGGGACCCTTTGTCCCTCCGGGGATGGGTCCCCCACCCCACAGCCCACGAGCTGCCAGGTACTCGCACACCGTCAGAACTTCCAGCCACGAGAACTTCAGACTTCCGGGTGTGGGCGTTGGCCCAGGTGCACACTCAGCTCTGAGACTCATCGCTCTCTTCAGGCCCCTGCCTGTCCGCAGGGCCCAGGCCCAGGCCTACAGGAGGAAGAAGAGATGCCACTTAAAGCAGGTGGGGCAAATCAAAGCAACAACGAGGTATCGCATCACCCAGTACTGAGAGCAAATTTCAGCAAGACAGCAAACAAAAAATGCAGTGAGGATATGGAGACTGGAGCCCCATACACTGCTGGTGGGAGTGTAAAATGGTGCCACCACTGTGGAAAACAGTATGGTGCTTCCTTAAAAAAGCTGGAAGTAGAGATACACTGTGATCCAGCAATCCCGCTACTAGGTATACAGGCTCGAGAAGCGCCATGACGTGAACAGATCCGTGCGCACCCACGTTCATCCCAGCACTATCCACGATGGCAAGAAGGTGGAAACCTAAAGGCCCATCCACAGAAGAACGGATCCACAAACGCTCGTCCAGACACACAGTGGAACGCTACACAACATTAAAGAACAATGAATCTGCGAAATATCTCACAACATGGATGGACTTAGAGGCCGTGATGCTGAGTGAAGTTAGTCAATCACAGAAGGACGGCTACTACATGAGACCATCACTGTAACAGGTCAAGGAAAGAAATGCTCTTTGACGGTTCCCAGGGGTGAGGGGTGGGAAGGTAAACCACTAACTTCAAGAGGAGACCTGTATTCCCTTGGAAGAGAATGAAAGGCAGGCGGGGGTTCCACCGGCCTCGTCACCTCAGCCCTGTGGGCGGCCCTGTAACTGCAATCATCGGGGAAGGCTGGCAGCCTCAGGCAGAGGGCAGCCGCTGTCATCAGGGTTAGCCGAGGGGCACAGAAGGCAGGAGCTGGGGCAGGGTCTTGCCCAGAATACCCTGCCCGCCAGGACAGTTTCCCCAGGGAGGAGGGGCCGGCCTGTGACGTCTTGTCCCGCGGGCAGCCAGAGGCACAAGTCTCTGGGGTGCCCCCTGTGCCCGGGCACAGCACGGGTACCTGGGAGGGAGCCCGAGGACAGGAGCTGCAGGCTGTCCAGCACCCCGTCCGCGTACAGCGCCAGCTTCCGCACCATCTTCTGTCGCGCCGCGTTGATGACAATCTGTGGTGGCGCCGACGAGGCCGTGCTACTCAGCGGCGACCCTGGGGCGCGGAGCGTGCGCTTAGCCGCTGGGGGGGTACCAAGGCAGCCTTCTCTAGGACTCCTCACTGGCCCTGGCCTAGCTCCGCGCGGCTTGTGGGTGGGCTGGCACTCCCCCGTGCTGGGCTCTCAGGGACAGGTGCTCCCCTTCCCTGGGTCCCTTCACCACAATGCGCGCCTCTGTCTGAGGCCGGCGGGCTCCCACCCCAGAGAAGCAGCCTCGCTCCCTAGGGACAGATGGGGCTGAACGGGAGGCCCAGGGTCCCCTTCTCAGAAGGCCAGGGGTATGGCGGGAGAAGGCCCTGCCCCCAGATACCTTCCAGGGCTGTGGGCCAGGAGCCTGGACTGCTCTCCCAGCTCTCTCGGGTGGCGCCCCCTGCCTGATCGCAGTCAGTCAGCCCGAGTGGTGCCGGGGTCCAAGTGACAGCCCCTTGCCCGGAGCTGCCTGGGTGGGCTGGGCCTGGGGGGAGGCTGGGGGTCAAGTGCCAAGAGCACAGGGCACCAGAGAGGCCAGACACACTCTCGTCACTCTCCACCGGCTGGTTGAGGCCTCTCT